ATATATATATATATATATATATATATATAGAGCTTGCATAGGCCTTGATAATTAATTCAATTATTGACAAGATGAATATTATAATATTCGCGGCCTTGCTTTTCACGGCGGTTTCCGGCACGGCAGCCGCCGGCAGCTCCTCCTCTCATCTCTCCAAAAAGTTCTACCACACCAGCTGTCCTAACCTCTTCCCCATCGTCAAATCCATCCTTAAACATGAAATCTCAAAGGAACGACGCGTCGGAGCTTCTCTCCTCCGTCTCCACTTCCACGACTGTTTCGTCAATGTAAGTTCGTTCTCACTCTCTCCACATATATATTATCAAACTCTTGTTCATAACCCGATCGCCCGCTTAAGCTTTTGAGTTGAGTAATGGTTATCAGGGATGCGATGCATCGGTGTTGCTAGACGATCACGGGTCATTCGTAGGAGAGCAAAATGCAAATCCCAACAAAAACTCGCTTAGAAGTTTCAATGTGATTGATAAAATCAAGTCTAGAGTTGAGAAGTCGTGTCCTGGCGTGGTTTCGTGTGCTGATATCTTGACTATTGCTGCTCGGGATTCCGTTGCATTGGTATGTTCTTTCAGGTCTTGTCGAGTTGAGTTGAGTTGAGTTAGTGTTAATTATTGTTATGATTATACAGCTTGGAGGGCCGTTTTGGAATGTTAAACTCGGGCGAAGAGACTCGAAAACCGCAAGCTTTTCTGATGCCAATAGCGGATTGCTTCCTTCACCAAACTCCAATCTCTCCGTTCTAATCTCTACGTTCAAAAAGCAAGGCCTTTCTACTACCGACATGGTTGCGCTCTCAGGTTGCTCTTTTTTTTAAATAAATAAAAATCCATTAATTTTAAAAAGAGTATATTTAAAATTTTATAGATATTTTTTAAACACGTTACACAGGAGGTCACACTATTGGACTAGCGAGATGCAGCCAATTCAAAACCCGCATATACCAGAAGAGCAATATCGACGCTGGATTTGCAAAGAAGAGACAGCGACAGTGTCCCAAAGAACAGCGGATAGGCATCGACAATCTTGCTCCATTCGACATCCAAACGCCCATGGTTTTCGACAACAAGTACTTCGACAACCTTATTAAGAAGAAAGGTCTACTACATTCCGACCAGGTGCTGTTTTCCGGCGGCTCCACCGACTCTGTAGTTAAAAAGTACAGCCGAGACAGTGAGGCCTTCAATCGAGACTTCGTTCGAGCCATGGTTAAGATGGCTCACATCCAACCCCTCACTGGGTCTGATGGCGAGATTAGAAAAGTCTGCGGAAGACCCAATTGAAAATCGCTCTCCACTTTCATTTCTATATGATCCTACCGTGTTCCTGTTTGTGTTCTTGTTTGTTTGTGTTGTCTTTTTTTTGTGACAGGTGTGTTTTTTAATTTCTGTGTATACATAAATTATGAATATCGTTCAATAAACCAAATAATATTTTGTTTCGATCGCGTTTGAAAGTGAATTTCTTTTTTTAAATCACTAAGTTTTTAAGAAAATATCTCAAACATTTTAAAAGTCAAACTAACATATAAAATAAATGAATTTTCAACCATACCAATCGTGGGTTGACCATTCGATGCTCGGGGTCAACTCTCTCACCCTTTTTGCCTCATAAATCGAACTATTCGTCATCTCATCCCTTTTGCTCTCCTTCTTAATGCTATTCTCTTCTTAGTCACTTTTAGAATTATTGTGTTGGAATAAATAGAATAAATGGATTGATATTGGCGTGATCGAGCTCCCGTTCGTGACAAAGTTACTAATTTTAGTAACGCATGCATGGAATGCTAGTGACGTTAATCCACAAGAAATTCAACGAACTCTTGAAAAACGATGCTAATCGAGGAAAGCTTAGGACAAGAGACAAAACAATGATGTATTAATTTTTCTATTTATTAATTGACTAATACAATTTGGGTCGGATTAATAGAAAAACGTCGACTTGATGATGCAAAGTCGAGAGGAGAATATGTGCACGTATGCATTTAACAAGAACATTGTGAATAACATGAAGCTCTTCTCATTAAGAGAGAGTAAACTACAACAACTCATACATTACATTAATCTCTGTATATAACAACACCAGGAAATGATATCACTTTTCATTTAGAACAATGCTTGGAGAATACCTTCACCAACTTTGGATAGCAATAGCATCCTTTATCACTCGATCCTCCGCCACGTCCAAAGAACAAAGTCGAAACGGGCGAGTCGAAATTCTCCTCTTCCTCTTCTTCGTCCTCGTGCTCATTCTCGTCCACTCTTGAATCAAACGACAATCTCCTTGGGCTTCTTCCTCTCTCTCCCTCAGAGCTTGTCAGTGTCGTAGACGAAGTCGACGACGACGACGAGCCGGGAGAGAGCGGATGGAGAGGAGCCTTATTCACAGAAAGCTTCTTGAAAACCGAGGTGAGGAAATTGGCTCGAGAGGGATGTGGGTTGGTGTTATATTTATGCTTGGAGGGTGTGTGTGAGGGTGAGGAGAAATAGGATGGTGGGGGCGTGAGAGGGGAAAGGAGTGAGCCATGGTCCCTGAAATTGGCCTTGGGAGTGCCTGGCTCGGACTCCCATATGAATGGCACTGTGGCTGATACTCCTGTGTGGTAATCTTCATCCACTGTCAATATATCATCCCTTGTTTTGAGGCTTTTAAGCCTCATTTTCCCAAATTTGCCTCCAAAATCCCCTGAATTTGTTGACATTGTTGTTGATTTTGATGCGATGATGATCTGCAACTTCAAATGTTTGTCATTTGTGCATAATATTTAGACGATCAAAGAAGAAAGAGGTAAAAAGAAGAGATTTTGAGGTGAACCCATGTGAGAAAATGTACCTGTTTCTAATGGGTAGTCGTCAAAAATGGAAAGAAATCAATGTGGAGCTGCCATTGTTGTTGTTGTTGTTGGTTGAGTATCCATTTAAGCCATTGATATTGCAGAGGGTAGCTGAGAATTGTTCAATAATGCTATTATTGCCTTTGCCTTGTTTTTGGGGGGAAAGAGTAATGGCATGATTGAACCATCCGTGGCTAAATATGATGATTGGTTTTCTACCACTAATGTTGATGACAGTACGAGGAAAAAAGGTTTGTTTTTGTGGTTTTCCTGTTTTCCTGTCTTGTTGGGAGATGAATTTTTAGTGGACGAAGATTGAATTGGATCGGATTGGATCGGGTATGAGCCTTGTTTTCTACGGTGAAGTTTGTTTGAAGAGAAAAGTTGACCGGTAAAAGAATGAAAAATAATACACCGGTTATGAGGGGTTTGTAATTGTCACACTAGCTCCGATACTTGGATTAAATTTAAGTGTAGCAATGGTTTGATTTCTCGAAATAGAAGAGTATTTTTATGACCCATTTAAGATAGAAGAGTAGTCGGGTTCTTCAATATTGGTTCGATGTTGGCATGTATTGACATTTTTTTATATTCCTTTTTTAATTAGGTTAACAATGAACTGAACTAGGACCACACGGTGAGTTGTGGGGTACACAAAGCCGATCAGGGCCCAATTCTCCTCGTCTCTTTTTTCTTGGTAGTCTGGTTCTTTTTCAATATTGATTTTTCTTCTATTCCTTTTTGAATTAGGTTAAAAGGGATCACACGAGTTGTGAGCCTGCCAAGCCGATCAGGGCCCAATTCTCCTCGTTTTCTCGGTAGTCTGGTTCTTCTTCAATGTTGGTTCGATGTTGTCATGTGTTCGACATTTTTTTGGTCTTATTTCACCGACCCAATAATTTAAGCCATAGTTTGGTATGTGAAATATATGCAATAAAGCTCACATTTACTAAGTTAGGTGGTTTTTATCTATATCTATTATGAGTTATAATTCCAAGCAGAATCCAAATCCATCCATTTGTTCTACAATTGGATAAACGTAGGAGAATTGGTCATTTCAGTAGATGATGTTAAATTCCTCCTTCTATCAGGTTGTTGTTGCTGCAACTTCATACCATTCCCTTCTAGTTCGTCTTCCGCTCCGTCTTCGATCATTTTGGCCCCGGACATACCTGCGACGATATAAGATGGGGAACACGGAGGAGACTCGAGTTCTTTACCACATCCATGTAGGTCATAAGACATATCTGCATCATTATAAGGAGTACATGAACGAGGCGGCACTCGTTTGTTGCCCTCGAGTTCTTTTTCGCATCCATGCAGTTCATTTGGTATTCCATCTGTACCTGTTTGGTAATCCATCGACTTTCGAGGAATTTCAACTTTCATCGATCTATATAACTTGGACCTGTTTGGTAATCCAGAAACTTTGACCCGCTCATATAAGTAATGATTCGCTCCATTCTCCAACCGATGTGGGATCTCACATTTACTTCAATAACAAAGCTATTGTCCAACGATTTCGACAGAATTATATACCTTTGCTCATACCTACACCAAGCTGGAAGTGTGAGCATTGTGTATGCAAGTTTAACTTTGTTGGCAACGCCAGAGAGAGATTTGAAAGTTGCAGCAACACTTGTTACAGCCAACGACTCATTCGGATGCTGCCAGGCCCATTCAAACTGCATCCATACTTAGAACATCAAATTCTAGCATTGCTGGAAAGTTAATCAAGACAGAAATCCTCGCATGGTTTGGTAAATCTGTATGCCAAAAATCCCTAAAATGTTCATCCTAGGAGGCAATCGAGATATATAAAAAGATGTATAGCTCAAAGCCTGGAAATGTAACCTGAAGAGCAGAGACTAGAGTGGGAAAGCCATAGATGCACAACACCATCTCTCATGGTCTCTTCCTCTTAGTACGCCACGCACCGCATCTAATTTCACCATTGTGCTGCCTGATTCTGCGTTTAGGGTTCACTGTGAATCTGAAATTCAATATAAACAGTAATCCAATCAGTTCACTGCAGATTGATTTACACATTTCCTATATTTCTTGATGTTTTCCCTCAATCAATTTATGCAGAAAGCGAGAGAGGAACAGATTCAAAGATCGTAAAACGATTTTCAGTATCGGGGAGTAGAGGAACAGATTCGAGCATCCAGAGATCAATTTATGCAGAGAGCGAGAGATTTGCAGATTCAAAGATCGTAAAACAATTTCCAGTATCGGAGTATCGGAACAGATTCGAGCATCAAGAAATCGTGAAAATGGAGGATTTCAAGCCATTATTTCATAGAGAAGCAGAAAATTTGTTCGAGAAGAAGGAAAGGATTCGAACCCGATATAGGTATGGCCTTTGAAACAAGGGCAGACAGAGGCCAAGAGATAGCATGAAAAGAAGCCGTTCGATTCGTTGCCGCTTCCTTCATCTTCATCGTCTTCCTTCTCCTCCTCCTCTGCAACCGCCGTAGCTTCAGAGATCTCCGATTTCTCTTTCCTCTTCCTCATCTCTCTGTCTCTCTGGAAGAAGAAAATCTGCTCAATAATACAATTAGACCGTTGGCGTACAACTTCAAAGGGAATTTATTAGCTTATATAAATGAATTCGTCGTTTAGCCCTAATTGATTTAATCCCATTGTCAGTCTCGCATCGAAATTCGCCGTCTCGATCTTACCGGAAGGCTTTAGTCAACTTTGCGTTGCCCTAAATTTAGTTTTAAAAATCTGAAACGAATCTCTCTTAGGGTTCCGATCTGGTTATCGCCGGCCGACGAAAACACATCCCGATTCCCGATTCAATTCCTAAAGCCGATCGGCTTTATAGTCTTGATTTCAAATTTATTGACCTTGATCTTCCTGCATTACTTCACTTTCACGGAACAAATTCGATAAAGAAAACGGAAGAACAAAAGAGGAATCAATTGAGACCAGAAGCGAATTTCTGAACATTGTATTATTTTGGTACAGACATGGATGTTAACGAAGAAGAGAGGTTTTACAAAATTTACAGGAAAGGGGGAAGAAGTGGGAAGAGAGATATTATTGATCGACGGAGATATACAAGAGAGATTCATAGCACTATCCAACAACAATGGCGAACCTGAACAATACAATTAATCCAAACAAAACCCCAAGGCTCGGCTCGTCTCGGTTCGACGCAATCGCAAATCCGATCGTATCGTCATCTCTCATCAATCGGAACGCTTCTGAGACGACGGAAACAAATTCCTCCACAAGTAGCGGCCGCTGGCCATGTCGACCACCGTCCAGAATCCAGATTGCATAGCCGAAGTCACCTGTTCAAACAATCCACAATCGTTCCATTCAAACAAACAAACAAACAAACAAACAAAGAATCAAACAAAAAGGAAAAAGAAGCCAGAATCAGAAGAAGAACCTTGGAGGAGGTGGAATTGGAAGACAAATCGTTAGAATGCGCATCGGAATTATCCTCGGCTTCGAAATCTTGAGGTTGCGATTTGATGTTACGGAGAACGAAGAAGCCGGCAAGAGTCGCAGAGAGAAATATGAGAATAAATCTCAGGGGACACATTTTTTTCAACGCCCTGGCTTCCTCGGTAACCTCTGGATCTGAATGATGGAGAGAGAGAGAGAGAGAGAGAGAGAGAGAGAGAGAGAGATTTTTGAAAATGATTTAGGGTTAATGAAGGGAGTGGTGAGAAGTGATGGAGCTTTCAAAATTGGGGAATATGGACGCCATGGAAGCAAGCTTGCTTTGCTTTGCTTTGCTTTGCTTTTCCCACCTAACCCAACCACTCATTTTCTATTAAGGGATATTAAATAATTATCAGATAAGGTTAGAGTTTGGGTTACTGGTAACCCACAACCATCATATTTTATACCAAAATAAATAAATAAATATAATAATAGTGGCTGGCTGGCTGGCTGCTTATTTATTTATTTATTTATTATTATTATTATTGAAAAACTAATAACAAATATCCTTAAATTTTATATTTATTTGAAAATTTTTAATAATATCATTTAATTTTTAAAAATCTCAATAATATCTTTAAATTAAAAATATAATTACTAAAAATATATGGAAAACATTCCAAATAGTTTTAAAATAAAAAAATACCAGTTATTTTAAAAAATTAATACTCTTAAAACTTTTTTTAAAAAATTTTAAAATAATTTTACCTTTATTATCACGTTTCAAAAATATTGATGTGAAGTGACGTTAAAAGGATTGTAGATGCATTGATAGATGATTTTTTGGCTAGTAAAGAATGTTAATGTTAATTTTAAAATTTTACCGATACTTTGTAAACATGGTTAAAGTTTTTTTTTTTTTTTTTTTAAACTGTAGGATAATAATGAAATTTTTTAAAGTTTAAGGGTATTTTTGAAACTGTATTAAAAGTTAGAAAGGTATTTTTGAAACACTGATATTTTTGAAACAATGTAGTATTTTTTTTTTTAATTTTAAGTTTGAAGGGTATTATTGAAAATTTTGAGAATTTATGGTATTTTTTTAGACAAATTACGAGAGTTCAAAGGTAATTTTCCACTCTAAGATGTATAGAGGTTCGAACTAAACGTTACACTACGTATTTCTTGCCCGGATCTGCAATCGAGTCTTAAACCTCCTTTAATCAGCTGATTCATTCTTGATTTTGAACACCCATTTGTTCAATATAACTGTATTTCCTAACTCGATCAACACCCACGTATTTTTTCTTTTCAGGTGAGCTCATCTCATCATCCATGACTTGCTTCCACTTAGTTGAATCTTCCCGGTGTAGAACCTCATCAAAGAACTCTGGTTCTCCTTCGTCAGTCACCAACAGATAGTGTAACGAGGGTGAATATCTATCTGGTGCTCAGATAGTTTTGGATGATCTCATCAACCCATTTGAATTTATGAATTTATTAAAAAAAATATTTGAATTTAAGAGATCGACCGTTACCATAGTTAAAGGTTAAATTTGTAATTTGCAATTTAATTTATTAATTAAGTAAACACACACATATATTACATATTTCATCATATATTAGCATAGGGAAATTCATGGTTTTTCACGCCGGTTCATCGGCGGATGAATAATACGCTAACATAAGTAAACGACGGCGAGCAACAGAAAGGCGGCTGCCGGCTGGAACATGACCGGCGCATGCATTTTCCGATCAGGGCATGTAAAGCTTGTTCCCACATTTGCACCTCCAAGCTTCCGGGTAATATTCAGCCGTCACCGGAGTTCCCGGCGGCACCGGGACATGAACCGCCGTGCACGGCGTGCACTTACCACACATTGACGTGCATCGTGGCGGCGACGATCCAGGCCCACCCAATTCTCTTCTTGCCAACGTCCTCAACTCTTGATCTTCATGATCTCCTACGACCACCTCCGCCGTGGCGGGCTGCGCCACCCTTCTTCCGTCGGCTGGCAGCTTCCATGTTGCACTACTAGTGATGGGCTGGTAGTGAAAAATGTCAATATTAAAGCACAGTATGTTTATTCATTATTAAGTGATTGGTGAGCTGTCGAGATGACATGGAAATAGAATCCTTAGGTGTCGAATATAATCATGTCCACGTATTTTGCTCGTCCAAGAAAACATAGCTTCACATGATTTGGAACATTAAATTGTCTAAGAAGAACGGTTTATAAGTGTTTACTGAGCTTAACTAATAATATCATATCATTATGGAGACGAAGATAGACTAACATGACACGACCATTTTGGACTCGTGAGCATAATTATGTCACGTGAGATACTTATCTGATCAAAGCAAACAAAGCTTCTCTCTAGCAGAAGCGTTTTAAAAACCGTAGGGGAAAGTCCAAAGAGGACAATATCTATTAGCAGTGGGCTTGGGTTGTTATAATGGTATCAGAGCTAGACATTGGGCGATGTGCTAGTGAGGAAATTGAGCCCCGAAGGGAGTGGACACAAGGAGGTATATCAGCAAGGACGTTGGGTCCCGAAGAAAGGTGGATTGTGAGATCCCACATCGATTGGGGAGGAGAACGAACATTCTTTATAAGGGTGTGGAAACTTCTCTCTAGTAGACGCGTTTTAAAAACCTTAAGGGGAAACTCGAAACTCGAAACGGAAAGCCCAAAGAGGATAATATTTGTTAGTGGTGGGCTTGGGCTGCTACAATGGTATCAGAGCTAGATACTGGATGATGTGCCAGTGAGGAGACTGAGCCCCGAAGGAAGGTGGTCACAAGAAAAGCCAAAGAGGACAATATATGTTAGCGGTGGGCTTGGGCTGTTACAATGGTATTAGAGCTAGACACCGGACGATGTGCCAGTGAGGAGGCTGAGCTCGAAAGGGAGGTGGACCCAAGGAAAGCGTAAAGAGGACAATATCTGTTAGCGGTGGGCTTGGGTTGTTACAATGGTATTAAAGCTAGACACCGGACGATGTACCAGTGAGAAGGTTGAGCTTCGAAGGGAGGTGGACACAAGGTGGTATGCCAGCGAGGACGTTGGGCCCCGAAAAGGGTGGATTGTGAGATCCTAAGGAGAACGAAACATTCTTTTTAAAGGTGTAGAAACTTCTCCCTAGGAAGAACAATATCTGCTAGCAGTAGACTAGAGCTATTACATTATGATCATATTATTACAAAAATACGAGAGACGTGTTATATCGATAGATCGTGACGTGCCAGCTGACACAATCATTTTCATGGTTCTAAGGTGGAGGAGGGTCAGTGGCTCAGCGCCAGCCTTGGAAGGGCCGGAATTATGAGTTTTGTGTGCGTTTACAAACAAGGCTTCTAGCTGGCTACCTACCAATACAGGGGGATGGCTATTTTGTAATTATCATTGAAGAAACAGCTAACGCATAACATAAACACAAATCATAGGATCATCATATGAAGTAGTACTGTATTGAAAGTAAAGTAGAACTTTACCTGGAGATTTGTATGGCCAGCTTTAGCAGATGAACAGCACCTATTATCTGAAGAAAAATAAGAACAGATATCCATCAGAGGAGATCAGAGATATCCATAGAGGTTTAGAGGCAAAACTAGATATCACCTGGACCTGCACTGGATATCATGCTGCAGGAGAATGATATCAGTATCAAGAACAAGAACAAGAACGAGAACGAGAAGGATTTATGAGCGGTTTTGGTCTCGGTGAGTGTGTTTCTACGAAGCTCCATTAAGCAGAGGATCAAGAAATTTAGAGTGGGATGAAGATCAGATGAAGTTTAAGAAGGGGATGAATCTGATATGATTTGGCTGTGGATGGCTTAGGACTGCCATGTCCAACTTTTGCAGGGGTTTTGGTGTTCCTTCTTTCAATGATTGCCAAATGAAGAAATACAAAAACCACACACAGGCTGCTGCTGAGATTATCTCTGCTCTACCTCCTCC